CATCCCACCCCTGCCATGGGCAGGGACAGCTCCCACTGTGCCAGGTTGCTCAGAGCTCCATCCAAGCTGCCCTCGGACACTCCTGATGACCAAACGAGACATTAATTACACAAGAGGGAGCAAAAATTGAACATTTCATAATGAAAGCTTCGAAGAGAACATCTCTGAGTACCCAAACCCCCTCAGGTGCAGCACAGCTGACAATGGTGCCGTGCTTTAACCCCAGCCAGCTTTATTCCAGCACTGCCATTTTCTTTTGCAGAGATCCCACTGTCTGATTTCCAGGCTGGGGTTTCATCACCTCTTGGCTTAGAACGAAGAAAATGTTTTGTAAGACCTCAGGAAAACCCTTCCTTGTCCTCCACATGTAAATTCATCAGATGTAAAGATACACCCGTGGTATTTAAGTACCTTTCCAGTGCAGAGTTTTGCACCCTAATCTTCCCTGAGTGTAAGATCTGTTTTTTCCTATTCCATACCAATATTTTATTTTCTGTCTTCCAGAATCTGAGCTCAGGCTCTGCTCATTTTCCCTTCCCCATATTTCCATGGGGTTGCTCCATCCCACAGACTCGACTGTCCAGCCTGTCCAGCCACCTCAGCATTTTCTCCAGGAGTCGTTTGCAGCAATTTGCAAATTATGTTCTCTGCTCTGGTATGTGGCAGGAGCTGCTGTGCCTCTCGTGCTTTGCCAGCTTTGAGCTGAGGAAAAGCACCCATGTGGGAAAGTCCTGCTCTCCAGCTGCTCCTGTAATTCCTGCTCAGTAATTCCGTGGCAGAAATTATCTGGGACAAACTGAGTCCCAGGGAATGCAGGGATGGAGTTTAGACCTCTGACTTGCAGGGTTTTGAATCACTCCTAGGGCTGCATGAAGAATTTGGTGTCTTAGGTTTGGTGCACAGGCACAGCCCATTAAATATCCCAACAAACCAAAGCAGAGGGTGGGAATATCCTCTGAGGCTGGAAGGCAGCAAATATCCACAAATCTGGATTTTCTGACATCATGAGGAAACCTCAGAGTTTGCCTTTGTTTTCTCAATTTGATCTTTGTTTTCTCATTTTTCTCTTTCTCAGTCAAGGTGATCTGTTCTAGGAACTTCTTTAGGTGGAAGCCTCTGAGCCACGAGGAACTTTTACCTTCCTCATTTTCATTCCTGCTCCAGCCTAACTGCTGGGACCTGGTTTCCAGATAAACAGAATTCAGGATAGGGCTGGATTTATTCTGTGTCCAGCTGTTCCAAAATTTTCCCTCTGGGAGCCCATTCAGTCACAATTTTTATCCTGGGAAAATACATTCCCATGACCACGTACTGAGTAAAAGACACAAATTAGTTTAACAGTGGAGATAACAAGGATGTAAGAGCAGGACATAAATTTCTTTAGAGTCTGGGATTTGTGGAGTGAAAAGATTAATGAATGTTCATATTTAAATGACAATTTAACAGACTTCTACAGTCTTACATTTTACCAGATTTGTTTCATTTTAAAGCAAATAAAGAGCCAGATTGGGGGGTAAATTCCAGTATGAGGCAACACAGTGGGATCCAACTTCTGTATCTCAGGCTTTGGATTTTTACCTCTGGACTCAGCCCCTGCTCCACCACAGTTTTCTGCAATTTGGGAAATAGTTGTTAGTAATGAATGCAATAAATTCTCTAGGAAGTTCACCATGAACAAAAATTAAAAAGAGTCAAGGTTTATTTTAATAAACAAGCACACTGGGTAGCTGAACAATATACAGGAACCAGAATTGTACAGAGAGGGCTGAAAAATAAACATTTAAAATTCAGCTACAAAACTGGGAGAATCAAAGCACTGCCAGGGAAAGCTGAACCCTTTGGGAAAAAATATCTGGGTAAAGGAAAGAAAACATTTAATCAACGAGGGGAAGAGACTTGGGGCACTGTCAGAGGATTTGAACTTCAGCCATGGAGACAAATATCCAACAAAATGCTCGTGTCAAGCTTTGCTGCAAGGACAGGAGCGTCAACCCCAGCTCTGGAGCAGAGAGAAGCAGCAGTGAGAGAGCAGAGCTGGCAATTCTCCTCGGGCTGGGTTTGGCACGGGCAGGATGGAGGAAATCCAGGGAATGTGGAGCTGTTCTCAGCACTGGCAGCACAGCTCCCTCAGCAGGCTCCCACCTGCTTCATGTGCAGGGCTCCTCTGCTCCTCCTGCAAGGAAAGGAATGGACATGGCACGCAGAAAATCACAAAAATCCTCTGAACCCCTTTGCTAACCATGAACATTCACAGCAGAAATGAGGGCACTGATCTGTAAACAGCTTTCCTTGCAAAATTATGCGTTTTATCCATAAACCCCAGATATTGCCAGCAGCACTGTGAATTTTTGTGTGACCTGAGCTGGGTGCAGGTGCTTTGTCAGGCCTGTGTTGCTCATTGGACCCTTCCCCACCCAACTTTACAGTTTCTGCTGGAGTAGGAAGCTGCTCACACAGATATCAGGGTTATTTTTTAGTGACTAAATCTTGCAGTACCTGCAGCAAGTTCCTCAGACAAATAGGAGTAAATTTTTTAGTGCCCAGCTTCACAGTGCCTGCTGCAAGTTGCTCACACAAGTATTTGGTTCGGTTTTTATTTATTATTATTTTACATTTCCCGTCAGAATAGGGAGCAGCTCACACAAATATCCAAGTAATTTTTTATTGTCCAACTTCACAATTCCTGCTGGAATAGCAGGTTCAGACCTGAATATCTGGGTCATTTATTTTATACTTCCTGCCAGAATAGGCCTCACCCCAATATCACCACTATTTGTTTTTCTAGATCAGTTGGACATTATCAGTGGGAGGAACAATTATTACATAAAGGTAAAGAAAAGGAGCAGAGAAGTAACAACCCTAAAAAACCCCAGCACTTTTGTGGGGTGGAAATGCCAGACATCTCAGCCCATCCTGTTGGAGTCTGGAATACAGAGTGTGTACCCTTGTTTCTGATACTTGGTTATAAGATCTAGAAAAACACTGAATTTCATATAATATGAAATTCATGAGCATGTTTTCATGGTGATACATGAGAACAAATGTTAAAGTTAGATGAAAAAAGTTAAAAGTGTAAGTGTGTAGATTAGAAAGTTTTTTTAAATCACTGGGTGAAAAAGTTAGAGAAGAGGAGAAAAGATGAAGGATTTAGGGTGTTGTCCCTTGTCCCTTCTTCTTTCTTTTTCATGTTCTCCTAGAGGTTTTTGGGTAATAGTAAGTGATTAGGTAGAAAATGCTGCAGTGCATCACAGGGGTGATGGGTCATTGGGTCATTAAGAAAAATAATATACGTGTCTACTGTTAATTGGGTAAAAATAGGTATAAAGATAAAAGAACTGCGTATTTCAGGGCCATTTTGTGCATCAGACACGAGGTGTGCCACAAGGCCTTGTTTGTGCCATCAGAAGAAAGAAATGTAACAGATTGCAAAGATTAACCTTGTGTAGCCAGCCTGGAGAGACCTGTTAAGTTTTGTGATCACCTGTTAATAAACACCAGAAACAAGATTCTAACGAGCTCGGGAGTTTTCTTCGAATCGTAAGAACTGAGATAAGCAGAGCTCCCCACGAGGGAGGATCCCAAAAGAATTCAGTCCAAAGGAGGCTGAGAAATCCAAGAATAAAAAGAAAAATACAGAAGAGATGCAGCAGAAACAGAATAAGGATTTTTTTAGAGGAAAGTTACATATCCCAGCTTTTGCCCCCCTCAGGGGTGATTGGCAGCTGAGCACTCACAGCACAGCCTTGCAGAAGGAACATTTGTTGTTGTAGGTTTTGCCGTCGGAGCCGCAGAAGGGCTGGTAGAGCCTCTCGCAGTAAATGGGTCTCCCCCTCTCCAGCCTCTTGTACTCGCTGCAATCCACCTGCAACAGAGCCAGCCCTCAGCCTCACACCCTCCACGCTCAGAAATCATGGATATGGCAGGGTTGGGCCATGATGTGGGGCAGAACAGCCAGGGAGGAGTCACCACCTCTGCTAGCAGAGCCCCAAAATGAAACATTTCCCACCAGAAATGTGGGAAATGTGGGAGTGGTGCTGCCTGGGACAGGGGCTGGGCAGGATTGGGGTCAGAAACACAGCCCCAGAGGAGCTGAGTGCTGGGAGTTCTCATTCTCTGAGCACAACAATCAGCAAATTCAGCTGGGATCACATCCAGGCCTTCTTTGGATGCTTCAGGGATGGAGTTCACCACCTCCATGGGCAGCTCTTCCATGCCTGACCACCCTTTCCATGCAGAAATTCCTGCTGCTTTGTACCAATGGACAAACCCTTTCCATGCAGAAATTCCTGCTGCTTTGTACCAATGGACAAACCCTTTCCATGCAGAAATTCCTGCTGCTTTGTACCAATGGACAAACCCTTTCCATGCAGAAATTCCTGCTGCTTTGTACCAGTGTGGGTCCAGCTCTGTGTATGGATGAATTTTCTCTCCCCACTCTGCCAGGGCTTTCCTGCTCACCTCAGGAAGGATTTTTTATTCCTTAGTGCCTCATTTCTTTCACACATTGACCCCAGAGTACTCAGAATTAAAATCGCCAGGTACGTGATTTGGGAGCTAAAAGTCATCCAAAAAGCCTTATAGGGTCATTGACAATAAATATTATTTTAAAAATCTAGATTTCTCTGGCTTAAAATTTGTCCCTGCCCAATTTTTTTCCCAGAATGCCAAACAGGTGAAAACATCTGGAAGTTGTCAGGGCAACTCTGTGGAAACCCCATAGCCCAAACTCAGGATTTCTCACTGAAATCTCAATAAATTGGCAGCATTTAATTACAGTTTAACATGTTTATTTTCTGACCTATTCTGATTATAATAATTTTTTTACCTCATATTATATCTATTTCTCCAGGAAAAAGAGAATCACTCACCTCATCCTGTGTGGCAGCATCTGCAGTGGAAACTGAATCACAAAAGAGAAAACAAAAACCCACAGTTAATGAACACTCAGGTGCAAACCAGGATGACTTCACTCAGCACCACTGAATTTTTTCCCTCCTTAAATGTCAATACTGACAGAGCTTTGCAGTGTTTAATAAGGCCTAGGTGACAGAATTTATTGAACAAGTGGATTTTGGTGCATTATTTGCCTTAGAAACTTCTGACAGCTGTTGGAACTGCTTTGCTGGAGGAGGGAACGGAGCCATTGTTCACCACAAAACCATTGACAACCCAGGAGTCAATATTATATTTAATGTTCATCATGTTATTTTATATTTAACGTCCAGGATTAGCTGGTGGTCAAGCATGACTGGGGTTTAATCGCTGAGTTTATCACGAGCTGCGTGTGGCTGTGAGCAAACCACATGTTCCTTTTATAGCTGAGGTTTCTGTCAATCATGAGGATTAAAATACCATATCGACTCTAAATAACATTGATAACACCATTTGGCTCAGAACCCCACTTTAGGAAGTGTTTCCCTTGATTCAATATGCATTTGAAGATGACTGGCTCCTATTTTTACCACATTTCTCTCCAGCAGAGCCCTGTTCTCTCAGGTGGGGCTTCCAGGAGCTCCTTCCAAACAATGCTAATTACACCTCCCACAAAGTAATCAGCTCCTTGGCGTGGCTCCATGCTGCTGACACATTTCTTACTTGCTTTAGGAATGTATTTGTCCCTCTGCTGTCCCATAATCATCATCCTGGGGTTTCCAGGGGATAAAAGGTACCAGGGAGAGGTTTCTGTGCAGAAGGAGCAGGAATGTGTTCTGGAGCAGAGCTCTAGCACTTGCTTTTTGGATTAAATTTGGATTTTTTTTGATCTTTAAAGGTTAAACTTTCTAAATATGTTCTGGAGCAGAGCTCTAGCAATTGTCTTTTGGAATAAATTTGGCTTTTCTTGATCTTCAAAAGTTACACCTTCCACAAAATTTCCTTTCATAAACCTATTCACATCCTCACATCAAACCCAGTGGTTCAGTACAAAGAAAATGAGCAGAAATAAAGCTCCAGGTCAAGTTTCCATCTCTGTCACCAGAGGTTTGGCTGAGATTTCATTATTCTGGAATTGGATTCCATTTATTCCACTTCCCTCCAAACCATCAAATGTTATTTTTGCTCTGGTAAAAGCTTTCAGGAGCCACTCTGCAGGCACACGGGAGTGAATGCAAAAAAGGTGTGGCTCAGAAAGTGTTGATGCATGAGGTTTTCAAGCAGACAAGATAAACCAGAAAGTTCAAGGAAGAGATTTCCTGGAATTCTAATGGAAGGAATATTTATTTATTTTCCTGCAGTTAATGAAACACTGAATGGATTATTTCCATCACATTTCATTTAAACTGATGTTTTTCATAAGGATTTTGGGGTTGAGACAAATTTCAAAGCAACCTTTTCAGAGCTACTGAAAAGATTATTTTGTTTCATAGTTTTGCATTAATTAATTTGTTTCATAATTTTGCTTCTTTAAGGTTCATAATGCTTTTAAACTTCTATACGGCCTGCAGAGGTGTGGTGTCTTTCACCTGTTTTAAATGCACTTTTTTTTCTCTAAAAATATATTTTTACTGTAAGTTTTTAGTAAAAATAAAATTGCCACGTAAAGGCTGAAGAAATTCCTCCCAAATTCCTATTTTTTAGGGCAACCCATCCCTCAAATCTCTCTGCAGCCTGGAAAAATAAGATTAAAATGACATGATTCCCAGCTGAGCATCATCAGCTGTCCCCTGCTTGGTCAGTTTGGCAGGAGAAGAACCTCCCCAGCTCCCTTCTCAGATAGAAACTTTAAAATAAATAGAGAAAACCAGGTGTTTTTGAGGCATCACAGCTCTTCTGAGTCCCAGAACACAGCCCTGAGTTACACCCAGCAAGGAGCAGCTTCCATCCACCACAGCCCCAGCTGGCTAACCGACCATTACAGTGATAAATAACAGGATTTAAAATAGAAAACTCCATTTTTCTCCCTCCCACACTGAGACCCTTGCAGTGTTTGGCCAGAAGGGAATCCTCCAGGGGAGTTACTCACATGCCAGGCACAGAGCTGCCAGCGCCAGGAGCACCAGGGTGACCTTCATGGCAAACTCCAGACCTGGATGCTCCCTGGATGCTCCCTGGATGCTCCTGCGGTGTCCTGGTGTGGCCATGGCAGCCTGGGATCAATTTATAGCCAGGAGCCGCTGATGAAATCCCTACACAGATAATTATTGAAGGAGTTGCCCAGGGCAGGGTCAGTAGGATGTGTCCTGAGCGGGGCAGGGCTGGGTGTCCCGGTGTTGATGGAGCAGGGATTGTTCCTGCCTAAACCCAGCCTAATTAACTGTTCCAGCCCCAGCAGCCAGGCTCTGACTCAGGGCTGGCTGCTCTGTTACTGCCATAGGGACTCGGAGCTGAACGCAGTTCCCAGGGAAAAATAATCCTGGCTGGGTGTTTGCCAAAATGTTCATCATGTAAGGGCTTAATCCTTATTCTTTTGGGCATTTTGGAGCTGGTTCTGAGCTGTGGTTTGAGCTGAGCTGGTTGTGCCCATGCACAAATGATGCCTTAGGTTTTAGCTTTTCTATTTTTCAGGTTCTGCACTGCACTGGTGTGTGACTCTGAGCTTCATGTAAAGCAAGTTCTGTTCACAGTTTGGTCAGACAAAATAAAAGGGCATCACTGACTGCTCTGGGAAATCTGTGTTCCACCAAATCCCTTCACACCCAGCCCAGAGCATCCCCCAGGGCTCCTTTTCCTTTCAAATGTCCCCAGTTTGGGATCAGAACCAACATTTTGGGACAGAAGCAGCAGAGACACCCACGGCACTGCCTGGCCAAGACAAGAGAGTTCCCAGCCCCTGAGCATCCCCTGAGCTCCTGCCCAGCCGTGGACACAGGAGATTCCCTGTCCCTCTGCTCCCATTTCCCTGTTTCCAGCACAACAGGAGGGATTTGTTGGTGACTCAGCCAAAAGGCAGCAATTTCTGCCTTTTATGACAGAGCCCAATGGGACACTCAGATCTGAGGCTTAATTTTCATAAATCCAAAGTACCGTGGAGTTTGGAGGTGAAAGTTTGGTTTCAACCCATCCTTCCAGAATTGCCCTCTCAGTGATTTTCCATCTAAACAGGCAAAGATCTCAACAGGAAAAATCCCTGACACCACCACAATTCCCAATATTTCAGTGATCACCTCCCCTCACTGCAGGGTAGCCCAGGGGGGTTCTCCCCATGCAGGATTGGGGTCAGAAGTGCTCATTCCAGTAAAACAAGGGCCTGAAAGCTCCTGCAGAAAAGATTTCAATAGATCAGGTAAGCCTTGGGCTCCTTTAACTCATCCCAAGAAGAACATGAATAATTTTCTCCTTAAAGAATATAGGTAATTAATAAATGTTTAATTTCTCATCACTTAACAGGATGAAAAACACAAATGCCATCAAATCCAAATTCCAGGTTGGGCAAAGATCTGGTTGGAGCTGGAGGCCTGAAATTTTATTTTTTGAATGACCTTCAGTGGTTTTGTTCTAAATTTTTTTTCTTTTTCCTTAATTTGAGCATCTGTTCCTGTGAGGCTGAGATGCCAAAAAATGGGGTGGGATTTACCCTGGGGCTGGTCTGGATCCCTGTGCTTGGGGCTGTGGGTGACTTTGTGTTCTGGGCAGCTTTTCTGGAGAAAAGGAACAAGCAGGAACTCGTGGGGAGTATTCAGGACACGTCCTTGGTTGATGGACAATTATGAGCAATTAGGCAACAGGAGCAAAACCCAAACCATGCAGGAAGTTCCTCCTGCTCTGAAGAGTTCTGAGCACACACAGCTCTCGGGGATGTGGTGACACTGTAAAACTGCAGATCCTGAGTCTGGAATGAGGAAAGAGCCCAAATCCAGTGCTCCCAGTGCTCCCAGTGCTCCCAGTGCTCCCAGTGCTCCCAGTGCCCCGTGGGATGCAGCCCCAGCATCCATCCCATCCCTCCCAGGGAGCACAAACCTCTCTCTGCGCCCTGCTCAGTTCATGTAGGAAGATTTCCCAGCTCTGCACTTGAATTTCAGTCCATAATTCCCAAGGTGCCACTGGTGAGGCCGGAGCTGCTCTTCTGGGACAATTCTGGGTTGTCAAAGGCACTGAAATGCTGGATCAGAGCCACTGAGGGGGCAATGAGGGGCAGAAAAACTTGGGAGCAGGGGTTGGCTCCGTTTGGAGAAGGAGGAAACGGGAGCCAGAGCCCTCCTGGAGCTGCAGAGTGAAAGGAAGAGGGAACAGAGCAAATTGCAGGGAGAGAAATTCCAATTAGACGGGAGCAAAAATAAATTTCACAACGAGAGGAGTCAACCACAGAGCCAGGTTATCCACAGAGATCACTGGAGATATTTAAATGGCTCTGTTCTAAAGGGGCCACAGAGGGTGTGGGCATCCAGGTGACCTCCATGGGCCATTCCAATGGAACTGGTTCTGCCATTCCCACAGGAGAATGTCAAGTGGTGCTTTTTTCAGGGACCCTGTGCTGTCTTTGTCCTCATAAATTAACATTTGACAAAGCGAAGGTGGGCCATAAATTACCACAATGGAGTGATTTGAGGTCCTGTGAAAACCAGAAGTTCACTGGAAAACAAATTTTGGGATGTGTGTAGGAATAGCTGCTTCCCAAAGCTGGCCTAGCAAGGCCTAACTGCTGAACTCATTCTGAAATTTAGGGTAAATGTAAATAAATGTTTATATGTAAATAAATAGTTTACATTGAAGAATTGTGAGTGCAATTTCGACCTCATCAGCAAACCCATGAATACCTGTGAGTTAATTGTGGAACTCTCGTAATTTTCTACCTTTACCATTATATCTTGCTTTTTTCTAAACTCTTATCCCTGCAAGTTGATGTTTTGAAGAAGAAAAAGCGATTCCATGGTGTTACACCTGGTAAAATATTAGCGTGCATTTTTCTGAGAGTAAGAAAAAATTGCCAATTATTATTTATTCCAAATTTTAGATCGCTTTTTGCTTTGGAGCCCTGGCTGGAGCACCCCTGGGATGCCAAAAATGCTGCTGCAGCAGGTCATCAGTGGAGTGCATGGGAGGATGTTCCCTGGCTGCATTCCAGAGGAGGAACCTGCTCCCACCCATCCGTGGAGAACCTCCCAAGCTGGGCATCCACAGAGCTGACAAATAGCACGAGGAAAAGGAAAAAAAAACCCACTTTGTACTCACAGGGAGCAGCTCCCCTCCCCTCCCCGGGATCCCGGGGTGTTTTGCGATCCCAGTCCCAGGGAGGGGGGTGGATCAGGGTTGTCCGCCCAGGTGCAATTAAAGCATCAGGTTTTGATGTCTTGCTCAATGCAGGCTTTGAGAACCAAGGGCTGCCTTTGCTGGGGCCCTGCCAGAGCCTTTGGGTGTTTGCCTGGGGAAGGTGAGTTTCCTGTGGGACCTCAAAGGAGTTTTTCTTCAGCCAGAGCCCTGCTGAAGGTCTCGGGTGTTGTTTCAGAAATTAAAGATAAACCCAACACGCTGTGCAAAGGCTGGAACTGATCTTTGTTTTCCTTTGTGCCTCCTGATCTCGTTGGGACACAGAGCCAGGAGTGGATCCTTGGATTCCTCAGTGTCTTGATGCATCTGAGTTGATTCTCCACAAAAACAAAGCGTTTTTTAACCCTTCCACTGAATGGGCTTTGAATAGGGCTGATTTGAAATGGCCTCAAGATGCAATTTCCAGGTGTTTGGACTTTGGTTCTGTCACAGCACAGTCAATCAAAGTGACATTTCAGGATTTCTCATGCCTCACAGCAAGGCTGGAGGACCTGCATTGCTTTTCCCTTTATTAAAAATAAAACGTTTCCAAAAGAAAAGCTACAACTTATGAGGAAGAGGGGAGGGAGGAAGATCAGCATGGGGAAGGGGTGGATGTGATTTGGACCTGAAATCTGTGTTCTCCCCCAGAACCCCAAACCAACCATCATCCCCCTTTTGCCTCCTGGCCCAGCTCCGGGGGCTGGAGCTCTTGGAGAGCAGCAAATTCCTCCAGCCTCACCAAGGACACCACAATTTCCCTGTCACGCATCCCTTGAGCTGAGCAGCACCCACAGAAAGCCCTGCAGGGAATTAGTCAGGCTCTGTTCAGAGCAGATTTAGGGAGGTGTGGCAGCAGAACCCAAAGCCAGGGGTTGAGTGATGGGATGAATGGAAAGCTGGAGGAGCTGCCCCTTCCCAGAAAACGGTGGGGCATGGAAAAAGGAGCAGGTCCAGCAGAAAAATCTGCTTTTTATACAGTCAGCGACTCTCCTCTCTCAGGAATAAATTAAATCTAAAATTTTATGTCAGAAGCTTGGATTTTGCAATCTAAAAGGGTTTTTTTTTGGGGGGGTGGATGGGAATTTTGTACATTGCACAGCCCGAGTCTGTGCATTTGACATTTATCCAGAGGTTTCCAGATTATTTACAGTGCCAGAAGGAGAGGAATGAAGGAAGAGAAGCCCAATTGACTGACATCAATTATTTTGTTCTTGGATGGATGGAGTACGTTAGAGAGTGATCTCCTGTGGAGTCACCATAGGGAATATTTCCTGGTTTGTATCCAATCTAGACAGAGGTGGGAGCCTGACAATTCCCAGAGGAGACATTCCAGGCACGTGGATCCATGGAGGAAATGGATAACTGGGGATCAAAGCCAGCTTTGTACCTTCGAGAGCAGCCAGCTGACAATGAACTGATTCCTGCAGAGAAAGGGGAGCTCCAGGCTGAGCTTTGTTATTTTCCCAAATAAACTCAGCCAGGGACTTCCCCCACTGGATGTTCACAATCCACACCAGGAATTCTGTGGGGAAAAACCCTCATTTTTTTGGCATCATGGCACAGAAAGGCACATTCTGAAGGCAAAGGTCGATTTAGGATCTGTCACGATACAAAATTTAGCTGAATATTCCAAGAATGGAGACTGGGCTGGGCCCAGGCTCAGCAGAGGTTTCAGGGATTGGTTTCCAGGGTGCCAAGGTTTAAACTCTGAGGCTCTGAAAGGTTTTGTGACCTCTGAGCACCGAAACCAGGGAGGAACCTCAAGGTCTGGGTCAGGGGGGTTCAGTCCAAAGCTGGAGACCACAAAGAAGCCCAGAGTTCTCCTCTCCTGCAGGACAGGGCTTGGCGGATGCTGCT